CTGATATATATATATATATATATATACCTAATATACATACACACACTGTATATAGACTGTATATAGACTGATATATATATATATATACACACACATACCCCGTATATAGATGGACACATATATATACACACTGTATATAAACTGATGTATATACTGTATATAGACATATATATATATACACACACATACCCCGTATATAGACTGATATATATATATACGGTATATAGATTAATATATACTGTACATAGACTAATATATATATATATATACCTACACCCTGTATATAGACTGATATATATATATACCTACACCCTGTATATAGACTGACACACACACACACATATATATATATATATATATAGACGCACACAATGTGTGTTATATAGACTGTCCTAATCTATATACTTTGGTCTTCTATATACTGATTTTATATATATATATCTATCTATGGATGGACTGAGACCACTGATATCTATACTGTGTATTCTATAATCTGCTCTCATATATGTGTATTAGCTTCATTATTTATATATATATATATACTGAGCCTAATATGTTGGTGTGTGTGTATATATATATATGTGTGTGTGTGTATATATATATATATACACACACACACACACACACACTCTCTCTCTCCATCTGTCAATATATTATCTTCATCTTATATGGGGAACTAATATGTAGTGTGTGTGTGTGTGTGTATATATATATATATATATATATATACACACACACACATATACATACATACACAGTACATATAGTCCGTTGTATAGACTGAGCCCTTCATTAATATTCCATATACTGTCCTTATCTATGCACAGTGTCCTTCTGATATGTATGTATAATGACCTCCTATATGTACACTGAGCACACCCTATGTATTAGATATTCTATCTATTGTCCTTCACTGTTTTTGTTATATAGTCTCCCTCTCTCTCTATCTATCTATATATATATATATATATATATATATATATATGCCTGCTATGTTTATACTGAGTCTGTCTGTCTATCCTGTGTGATCTCAATTATTTATATATTGGGGAGATTTACTAACGCTGTTGCTAACCAATCGGCTTCTAACTTCAGCTTGTTACGTGAAGCTTTGACATTAAAAGCTGGCAGCTGATTGGTTACCATGCAGAGCTGCACCAGGCTTAGTAAATCTCCCGTGTAGTGTACACATACACTGCTTTCCTGGTATATACATCCTCCTCACCTCTGTAGGGTGATCATTCTGCCAGTCAGTTGTTGGCATGTCTGTATCATCTGTGTGTTCATAGCGGGGAGATTTACTAAAAACTGGAGCGCTCAGAATTTGGTGCAGCTGTGCATGGGAGCCAATTGGCTTCTTACTTCAGCTTGTTTTGTTTAATGAAGCTTTGGCAATGAAACCTGGAAGATGATTGGTTTCTGTGCAGAGCTACAGCGGGTTTTTTAGAGACCCCCCCCCCCCCCCCCTTGTGTCTATGCTGTCCTGTACTGTATGAATGTTGTGTGTCTGGGTGTGTTTATGTGGATTGCCGGTCTGCTGGTGATATGTATGATTTGTGTGGTTCCTGGGTGTTGGTGTATGGTGTCAGTGTCCCCGTGTCCTATCTATGTGCTCGGTCCATGTATGTCTGATGGGGATGTGTATTGTCTGGATTCTGCTCTCCTTGCTTCTTTGTGTCCTTTATCTTCCTGTGCATGCAAACTGTTTCCAGGGTCGGTCTGCATCTTCTTCACTTCCTCTTGACATGTACAGTATGTGTGTGCTGTAATTCTACCATGTGTGACTGTTCCTAACTTGTATGTATGTTATCCTACAGTGTGACCTTTCCTGGCATGTATGTATCTCTGCTCTCATTCCAGTATGCCTGTCTCGACCTGACATGTTTGTATGTGTGCTTTCCTCCTGTCATGTGTGACTTTCTAGCATGTTTGTCCAACATCTGTGACTCTTCCTGACATGTATGTATGTTGTCATCCTGTCATGTGTGACTTATCCTGGCATGTATGTATCTATGCTCTCATTCCACTATGCCTGACTCTTCCTGACATGTTTGTATGTGTGCTGTCTGCCTGTCATGTGTGACTTTCTGGCATGTTTGTCCAACATCTGTGACTCTTCCTGACATGTATGTATGTTGTCATCCTGTCATGTGTGACTTATCCTGGCATGTATGTATCCCTGCTCTCATTCCAGTATGCCTAACTCCTCCTGACATGTTTGTATGTGTGCTGTCCGCCTGTCATGTGTGACTTTCTGGCATGTTTGTCCAACATCTGTGACTCTTCCTGACATGTATGTATGTTGTCATCCTGTCATGTGTGACTTTTCCTGGCATGTTTGTATCTCTGCTCTCATTCCAGTATGCCTGACTCTTCCTGCCATGTTTGTATGTGTGCTGTCCTCCCTGTCATGTGTGACTTTCTGGCATGTTTGTCCAACATCTGTGACTCTTCCTGACATGTATGTATGTTGTCATCCTGTCATGTGTGACTTTTCCTTGCATGTATGTATCTCTGCTCTCATTCCAGTAAGCCTGACTCTTCCTGCCATGTTTGTATGTATGTTGTCATCCTGTCATGTGTGACTTTTCCTTGCAAGTGTGTGTGCTCTCACCCTACCTTGTATGACTTTTCATGGCCTTTATGTATGCATGTGTGACACCTCCTGACATGCAAGTGTGTGCACTCACATCCTGTAGTACATGACTTTCTGACATGTATGTATGTATGTATGTGTGTGCTTTCACCCTACCTTGTATTGTTATTATTATTATACAGGACTTATATAATAATAATAATACAAGGTAGGGTGAAAGCACACACATACATACATGTCAGAAAGTCACATACTACATGATGTGAGCTTGTATGACCTTTCTTGGCTGGTATGTATGCATGTGTGATTCCTCCTGACAAATATGCATGTGTGCTCTCTTCCTATTATATGGGACTTTTTAACATGGATGTGCGTGCGCTCTCACCCTACCTTGTGTGACTTTTCCTGTCATGTATGTGCTGTGATCAGGTCTTCTGTGTCGTCCAGTCGTACTGGTTTCATATTATATGGTCCTTGGCACTTGTACCCGCTATAATTACAATCTGTGTCGTTGTCCTGACCTGTCCTGTGTCCTTCTGCTGTCCCTCAGGATTTCATTTATATTGTTTTTATTATAATTGCTTCCAGTCCAGTTCTATGTATTGTTAACGGGGGAGGGGTCTGCATTTTGTCCTGACATACATGTATAAGTGCAGTATGTGTCTGTCATGTGATATCCCATGTGTTCTGCAATCTGTGTGCCCTCACCATAGAATGGGTGTATCATGTTGTTCTGTGGACAATCTCTTATACTTTTATTTCTAGCATCTTCTTGCATACATGTACTGTACGCCTTTCCTTGTCTTTTGTGCACATATCATCCTCCTGATATGTAAATGGTTTTTTCGCCATGCATACTACATGCTTGGCCCTTTATATATACTATATACCTGACTTTACCATACTCCTCCTTTCTACATATATCTTCTCTCCGGCCTCACATTAGGCCGTCCTCCTGATCTGTTGTTTGTCTTCACCTTTTCTGCCATTGTTTGCCATTCTTACCTTCTTGGCATATATCCATAGCCAGGGGCGGACTGACAACTCATGGGGCCCCCGGGCAATAGGGGATCATGGGGCCCCTGTGTCCTTGCCCAAACTCAAAAAAGCCTATGAAAAAGGTACCAGGGACATCTCATGGGGCCCCCTACTGACCCCGGGCCCTTGGGCAGTGCCCGAGTTTCCAAATGGTCAGTCCTCCCCTGTTCATAGCAGACACGACACCCTGATTGTCTACTGTTTTTACTGCCTTATTTAATTCCAACTACTTGGCCTGCACATTTTTTTTCCATTGAATATCCCATCATCCAACACTGGTTGGGGTTTTGGCAGATGTCAGCAGGTTAATTCATCCAAGAACCTTCAGGGTTCCACTGCAGAGATCTCCTCACCTGAGTTCCACGTGTTGTGGCCATTACAATGAGGTCCTACCCCGCTTGTTGGTTTATTCATACATTTTTCACTATATATGGATGGCTTGGCTTTAAAGTGTTACTAAACACACAACAGTAAAATCAGTCTGTATATGCAGTAAAGCATGCTTGTTATACTCCCTGTGGAACCTAAGGGGTTAATCATCTGCATTGTGTAAAAAGGCTGTTTGATTCTGTCTTCTCTGATCCTCCTCTTGTTCAAATGTCCACGTTTTATCCTGATAAGACAGACTGAATCGGTAGCCATTCTGCACATGCTCAGTTTAGTGTGTATTGCTAGAGAGGTTTTTTTTTTTCCTTTTCTCCTTGGGAGAGTGCATGTGATCAACACAGGGCCAATCAGCACTGTCCAGACAGAGGTCAGGGGTTCTGCATCCTAGAGCAGAAAGTAAAGCTCCTCCTGCAAACTTTAACCAGTGTTCTGCTGGACACATAGAACAACATGATAGAAGTCACAAGACTGCTCTAACTGCTGATGAGAAAAGGTATTTAGCAGTTTATATTTACTAAAATAATTGCATTTCCATGTTTGTGTATTGTGGGAGAGCAGATATAGTGGATGCAGGGTCCGGGGAGACCGGATATAGTGAATGCAGGGTCCGGGGAGACTAGATATAGTGAATGCAGGGTCCTGGGAGACCAGATATAGTGAATGCAGGGTCCTGGGAGACCAGATCTAGTGAATGCAGGGTCCGGGGAGACCAGATCTAGTGAATGCAGGGTCCGGGGAGACCGGATCTAGTGAATGCAGGGTCCGGGGAGACCGGATCTAGTGAATGCAGGGTCCGGGGAGACCGGATCTAGTGAATGCAGGGTCCGGGGAGACCGGATCTAGTGAATGCAGGGTCCGGGGAGACCGGATCTAGTGAATGCAGGGTCCGGGGAGACCGGATCTAGTGAATGCAGGGTCCGGGGAGACCGGATCTAGTGAATGCAGGGTCCGGGGGAGACCGGATCTAGTGAATGCAGGGTCCGGCGAGGCGGATCTAGTGAATGCAGGGTTCGGGGAGACCGGATCTAGTGAATGCAGGGTCCGGGGAGACCGGATCTAGTGAATGCAGGGTCCGGGGAGACCGGATCTAGTGAATGCAGGGTCCGGGGAGACCGGATCTAGTGAATGCAGGGTCCGGGGAGACCGGATCTAGTGAATGCAGGGTCCGGGGAGACCGGATCTAGTGAATGCAGGGTCCGGGGAGACCGGATCTAGTGAATGCAGGGTCCGGGGAGACCGGATCTAGTGAATGCAGGGTCCGGGGATCTGACCGGATCTAGTGATGCAGGGTTCACTATCTAGTGAATGCAGGGTCAGGGGAGACCTGATCTAGTGAATGCAGGGTCCAGGGAGGACCGGATCTAGTGAATGCATGTCACCCTGTTCACTATATCTGCTCTCTCCCAGACCCTGCATTCACTATATCTGCTCTCCCCGAACCCTGCATTCACTATATCTGGTCTGTCCCAGGACCCTGCGTTCTCTATATCTGGCCTGTCCCAGGACCCTGCGTTCACTATATCTGGTCTCTCCCAGGACCCTGCGTTCACTATATCTGGTCTCTCCCAGGACCCTGCGTTCACTATATCTGGTCTCTCCCAGGACCCTGCGTTCACTGTAGCTGGTCTTCCACAGTACATAGAACATGGGAATTACATTATTTTAGTAACTATAAACTTCTAAATACCTTTTCTCATCAGCAGTATATAGCCGTCTTGTGACTTCTATCAGTGTCCAGCAGAGTACTGGTTAAAGCTTGTAGGAGGAGTTTTCATTCTCCTCTGACTGTCCAATGATGCTATATGACCCCTGACCCTCTGTCTGGACAGTGCAAATTGGCCTTGTGCATATCACATGCGCCCTCCAAAAAGAAAAAACCTCTCTAGCAATACATATCAAACTGAGCATGTGCAGAGTGACTCCTAGAGCTCTGTACTATCAGCAGATGGATTGGGGACAGTAGAAGGGGAGGATCAGAGCGGTCAGGATCAAACTGCCTTTTTATACAATGCGAAGGATTAACCCCTTAGGTTCCACAGTGAGTATAACCAGCATGCTTTACTGCATATACAGACTGATTGTGCTGTTGTGGATTTAGTAACTTTTTAACATTGAGAGCGTTTAGTTCCGCTTTAAACATTCTTGGGCGGGTGGGAGGAGCTTGGCACTCAGGTCCACAGATCTCGTTGCTCTTGTTTGATATGAGGCCAGTGGACATGTTAACAGGTCGGCATTCACCTGAACTTGTATCGGTTTGCCAGGATTACTCGTTTTCAGGGGCGGACTGACAACTCATGGGGCCCCCGGGCAATAGGGGATCATGGGGCCCCTGTCTCCTTGCCCAAACTCAAAAAAGCCTATGAAAAAGGTACCAGGGGCATCTCATGGGGCCCCCTACTGACCCCGGGCCCTCGAGTTTCCAAATGGTCAGTCCGCCCCTGCTCGTTTTTATAATATATTTGATGTCCCTGTCATGTGTGCAGTCTGAATGTTTTCTGTGAGACACGTCATTCCCTACCTTACTAATGACAGTGGCCTCCTGTACACTTCCTGCCGTATATTCCTCATCATACAAGTGCCGTTCTTCATGTATGTTAAGGCTGCCATCTGTCAAGATCACATTACTACTCTTGGCATGCTTGTGCTGAATTACATCCTTCCTGTACATTCCCTGAGCATTGTCCTTTCAGAGGCGGACAAAGATGTTCACGATTCTGGAGAGAGGCCGACCAATCAGCCAGCAGACAATTTTAGGGTTCCCGGAAGCCTCTCCATTGACCGCAGTAGAAAAGGCTCAAGGCATTCAGTTGCCTGGCTTCCTGGGATTAGTCCTGGTGGCTATTGGCGATGCATGTCACGTGAGCCTGCTGCTTCTGTGTTTGCCTGTGTCACGCGTGTGTATCGTCAGACTTCTGAATGCATCCAGTGTGCTCATATTTGAAATATTTTTTCTATGACTTTATTAATTACCAGCTTTGTAAGCCTGACATTTTTGCGGGTCTGATTGTCATGCGTGTCATGGAGCCAGATTGACGTGTGCGTATGATCTGGCACTAAGTGGAAGCAATGTATGTTTGTCATTGGTGAATACGCCACTTAAATGGTGCTCAGCGTGTAGATTTTGCTCCAGCAAATTGCTGTGTATTTCCATAGAAAAATAATGAAATCCCGTTCAGCCGGTTCTCTTTCTAGGAAATATGTTCACCTTAATGTGCCATAGCCGTGTGTCAGCCTAGTTAATACTTCAGTTATATCTGTGTATAAAAGGTATGGAATGTAATTAATAGCTTGTGGCGGGGGGGGGGGGGGGGGGAATTAAAATAATTTTTCCAGTGGCTGTGGAGTCCCTGCACCTCCTGTCTTGGTAAATTGCTGAAAGCGGTATTAAACCCCAAACCGAAAATGTAATATGTTGCATCTTATTAATCCTTAGATGTGATGACTGCATTAGTTTTCTTCTTTTTTTCCAGCTTTTCCCCTCTGTTTTCACCTGGTGATCTGGCCAGTAACACACCTCCTGTATTATTCCTCTTATTGTTATACAGGATTTATAGCGCCAACAGTTTACAATATAACGGGAGACAATACAGCTCAATACAAGAGGGTTAGGAGGGCCCTGATCCTGGGAGCTTACAATCTAGGAGGGAGGGACTAGTGGTACAAAAGGTAGTAACTGTGGGGGATGGACTGGTTGGAAGAGTAGAGGATTCCAGTATTAACTGAGGGCAGGATAGGATTCCCTGAAGTGATAGGTTTTTCAGAGATCGCCTAAAAGTGCGCAGAGTAGGCGATAGTCTAAAAAATTGGGGTAGAGAGTTCCAGAGGATGGGGGAGGCTCTGGAGAAGTCCTGGAGACAAGCATGGGAGGAGGAGACAAGGGAGCTAGAGAGCAGGAGGTTTTGCGAGGAGCGGAGAGTACGGTTTGGGTGATATTTGGAGACAAGATTGGTGATGTAATCTGGGGCAGAGTTATAGATGGCTTTTTATTATTAGAGCGCCCCCCCCAGTCTGGATGAAGGAGCACAGGAGGCACCTTTGGACAGCAGCATTGTCATCTGGGGGGAGGGAAGTATTAAATGTACTAGCAGATACACTAACAAATTGAAGCTGATACTTTATGATCAGTTACAGAATTAGTTTTTTTTCCTTTTGGGATAAAGGTTTTACATAAAAAAAAGCTGATCATTGTAAGCACCCTGGTCATTTGTAAATGGTTTGTCTCGTCTCTGTAACATACATATCGGTGGAGAGTGTCTTCTTTTGAAAAACAGACTTACTGGCTGGATCACCAGATTGAAAATAGAAGAAAGAAAGCTTATAAAAGAAAATGAATGCAGTCATCACATCTAAGAATAGGTCATCTGCAATATAATGTTTGCTTTTGGGTTTAATACCATTTTAAAGTGTATTTACACTTTTGCAGTCAAGTTGGGATAACACCTTCTTTATGTTTTTTATACGCGCCCATTCATATACATAACTTAACAAATAAAAAATGCAGCTTACCTTTTTGTTTGCTCTTTTCTGAAAACTCTAAAATCGAGGTTTTCCTATGTAAGGAGAGGGCTGGGGAGTTATGTTTACCATAATTGACTTTCTGTCCTGTGCTGGCAGATCTTCATTATCAGCTGTAAACTAGATGTGCTCGCTGTTGTAATAAAGAGCTCACGTCTTGGGTGGTACATTGCATGCCCTCTCAGGCCTCGTTCACACCATACGTGCAGAAAGACTGATGGAAACCGATGTGCAGATTTCACTTGCAGAGACGTCAGTTTACATCAGTTTTCATGCGCACTTCAATAAGTTTTATGCACATTGCAGATTCCTGCGCAGAAAAAATCTGCACGTGATACTAGTGTTGTGTGAACACGGCAAATAGAGAACAACAGATTTTGTGTTTCCCTTTAAGAATGTGTGCAGAAAAACTGACATTATTTATTTCCTACAGGTACTTATATAGCGCCGTCAATTTACGCAGCACTTTACATATATATTGTACATTCACATCAGTCCCTAACCCTCAAGGGGCGTACAATCTAAGGTCCCTAACTCACATTCATACATACACATACTAAGGACAATTTAGACAGGAGCCAATTAACCTACCAGCATGTCTTTGGAGTGTGGAAGGAAACTGGAGCACCCAGAGGAAACCCACACAGGCACAGGGAGAACATGCAAACTCCAGGCAGGTGGTGCCGTGGTTGGGATTCAAACCAGCGACCCTAGTACTGCCAGGTGGAAGTGCTAACCATTGTAGTCACTGTGCTGCCCCATTATATTGTACATACATCAGTCCCTAACCCTCAAGGGGTGTACAATCTAAGGTCCCTAACTTACATTCATACATACACATACTAGGGACAATTTAGACAGGAGCCAATTAACCTACCAGCATGTCTTTGGAGTGTAGGGGGAAGCCGGAGTGCCTGGAGGAAGCCCACACAGGCACAGGGAGAACATGCAAACTCCAGACAGGTGGTGCCTTGGTTGGGATTTGAACTAACGACCCGAGTACTGCCAGGCGGAAGTGCTAACCATTTAGCCACTGTGCTGCCCATACTCATCTCTGCACCATGGTGTGAATGAGCCCTTATTGCTTGGCTGGCGTTTTTTTAGCGCTGGATAAATACCAGTCAGTGATAGGGCACATAGAAAACATTTGTGCTTTCATTCATGCTGCAGTGCAGGCGGGAGGTGCGGTGAAATGTGCTGCGGTAAAAGGCAGACAGTGGCATACAGGAGGATCCTGGATTCAACTGCACAGGAGCATACTGCAGACACATGAATGAAGTGTCACATTGCGACACCTCAAATAAAGTTTAAAAAAAAAGAAAGCAGGAAACCGTGTGATTTGCTTAAACATGCATTGTACCGCAGCTCACCGCAGCGCAGAACTGACAGCTAAATGCTCTCTTTTAGCATAGGGCAGTGTGAACGAGCCTCTAAACCCATCTGTGCCTTGTAAGTTACTAAAGTGTGAAAGACTTCTGATGTCTAGATTGTAAGCTCCAAGGAGCAGGGCCCTCGAACCCCTCGTGTATTGTATTGATACTGTATTGTCTCATGTTCTGTCCCCCACTATAATGTACAGCGCTGAGCAAACTTTTTAGCGCTGTATAAATACTGTATAATAATAATAATGTCTGATTAAAGAGAACCTGTCACAAAGAGTGCATATCACATAGGAGACTTTTTGTGATATGTGACGTAAAAAAAAAAAAAAAAAGGGTCAAAAAATAAAGTTGCACCCAAGCACTTAAACCATGGGTAGGAGGAAAGAAAATTGCTTGATTCCATCATCAACACAGTCAATGTTGATGAGGGAAAGACTCTGGCAACACTATTGTTTTTTGCTGGCTGGGAAGGGGGAGGGAAGGCACGGGATCCTTCCTGGCTGGCAGAACACAATGATTACTGCTACCGGCTATAGCTGCAGGCAGTAAATGAATGTAAAAAAAAAAAAAAAGAAAATCTGACAGGCTGGTTCTACCCAGTTCAATTGATGGGTGCAATCATACATGGTTCGAATTTTGATCCGTGTGTGGCTGACTTAAAACCTCATGCACATAGACGTGAGAGGCTGAAAACATGACCATTGTAAAACTCCAGGCATACATGAATATGCTCCAAGAAGTCACAGGTGCCACATACATACTGTGCGTCGGCTTTTACCCCTGCATGCATGTATGATTATTATTATTATACAGGATTTATATAG